TGAGGATATACGAATAGTGAGTGTAGGCATTTACAATTTTTTGAAAAACTAAGGTATATCATCATTAATTTAAATATCTTATCAGAAGCCATGAAGTGTCCGTTATTTGTGTCATACGTGAGACGTGAGAATAGGCTAAAGACCCATACCGATTCTATAATGCAGTGTCTGCCGAAAATCTAAGACGGTTACTGGTGCTAAAATCCTCTTAAAAATCCCCTTTTAATTTGAAAAATAAAGCCAACGACGAACACTCGTTTTTAAGTGTTTTAGTGTGCATTTAGTTCCTGGAAATACATATTTTGAAATTGATCATTGTCTGTATAGTGAGCATCATTATAATAAATCATGAGTTAATTACTCCGTTTACATGAGTCAGCGAAAATGACGATTAGAACGGATATTTCCGTTTAGCGAAAAGTGCGCATATTTCGACTCATGTAAACTGATCAGCGCGCGTAAAAATGACGATAACGCGGAACGGAAATATCCGATGAATTAATGGGAAATATCCGTTTAGGACGTCAGGCCTAGACGGATTTTTTGCGCATCTAGCAGAAAATGACATGAATATGCATGTTTTATCGATGAAAGTTTTAGCTTACACATCAAAATACATATTTATCTTGAATGGTAGGTCTAATGACAATGAGATCCACATTTTGCCCCTGATTTCGCGCCATTGTGGCAGATTCATAAAGTACCTACATAAGTGTTGAGAGGAACGTCCTATGCTTCAAAAGGGAAGCATTCTAGTTTAGGGGTAATTTCCTTATTTCTTAGATTCAGCAATCAGGGTTCAATTCCAGGGCAACCAACATAGCCTTCCCAGCCAGTTGCTCCCTATAGCCACTTGGAACAGCATGCTAGTGCCATTTAGTGCTTGGTACACTGGATATGGTGCTTGATTTATTTTGCTTTAGTACATGCTCCCAAACAATTTTCTCTACCTAGGTACTTCAAACTTCCATAGTGGTGATTCAGATAGCTTATGCTTCAGCGAACAGCCACCAGACGGCAGAGCACACAGGCTGGTTGGGACAGTTGGCTGCATGCCAAAATATACACAAGACACACAGTCAAATTTACTCAGTGATACTGCCCTCTGCCCCCCCCCCCCCCCCATACTTAAGTGTTCACCTTATTGTTCCTAAGAAGTAGATTCTGCAGTGGTGGGAAGGTCTCTGAAAGTCTGGCTCAATCTCGGATAGTGGCAGCACGCAACTGGCAAGGTTTTGTGGAATTTGTGGAATAATACCTGACCTAACCTTACCTACCAGCCTAACTTTCAACCTACCATCCTACAAACACACCTACATGCCTACAAGTTACAACCTACCAAACTACTTCCTACCAATCTACAAGGTCAACCAACCTACCAAACCACACACCACTCTGACTTCATCTTCACATCTTTCCTGGTGTGATTGAGAGTGGATTATTCTGTGCATTTTGAAAAATTGCACTGATAGTGTCTTAAAGTTTGGTGGTGAGTAGATGTAATTTCTGTTATGACTAAAACCACATGGAACTGGAAGTGATGGATACTGTGTTGCACCCGACAGTCAAGCAATGCACCCACATGTCACATCTACTACACAATTCACCTAGTACTGATCTGACCCCTGTCTTTGAAGTACCTACTGAGCAGCCAAAAGCAAAAAATAAAATAAAATGCTGGAATATTCAAGTGCTTCAAATGTGTCAACCAAAAATGTAAACACAATCCCGCATCACCCCCTTAATACCAATGTTTTCTGAAGTGTGGCACCATCCTGCACATCCTTGGATCCTTTCATGCATTTTCATTTTGTCAACTTACTGGAGGTCCATCATGATGAGCTGTGACTATTATGAGCTGTCTTAGCCTCTTTCTAAAACCAAAAAGACTTTCAATATAGGTGTGCTCTTCAATCTTGTCCAAGACCTCAATTGTTTACTTGCTTTCTGACAGTTAATCACACTTATTTTACAGCACACAAGTAAAATAATGGCTTTTGCCATGATTATTTCCAATGCTACAAACAATACTTCTAAGATTCAAGCAAAGTAAGCCTAAAACAAGCACAAATAATGCTTGATAGGAGCTGCGCCAGACATGTAAAAATGCGCAAAATCAATTATGAACAGTTTTTTCGCTATAACTTGGCCAAAAAAGAGGTATCGATCTCAAATTCGGTATGTAGAATATAGATAGAAGGCGGTAGGCAGGGGGATGTCGTCCCGGTTCTTCCCATGTATTATTCGCCAATCAGCTTAACACTACCGGTGACGTCACTGGAGGACCGCCAATCGGGGCCGGCCGGGCCCGTACAAGGCCAAACGCAGACGTTTTCAGAAAAGCGTGAGCCGTATAGATACAGTCGTGGATGGAGTTTTGCTGTGATTCGGCTCTCCAAGAGTGCGTCAGGGTACCAGGACCCGGACAAAGGTCATAGTGAACCGGCATCTGATAAAATCCGCTCGCCACTTAGCAGCCGACTTCGACCCTTCACCCTCGTAAAACACAAAAGCCTGCCGGTCATCAATCCACCTGCATCTCTGCATCTGCTTACTACCTATATCGACTAGTTACTGCAGCCGTTTTGGAGCGGCTCACGGCCGATAACACACCGGGCGTGCGCTAGCCGCCGGTGCTAAGCGCTAACCATTGATTGCGCGTGGCCGACTGCGGCCCCGATGGCGCTGGCCCCCGGCACCGGCGCGGCGCCGCTGAGTGCTGACCTATGGAGGGGGGGGGGGCTGATAATTAGTTGAGCCGGAATTGGGATAGAAGCCGGTATGGGATTGGGATAGAAGCTCAGCGAGACTAAGGGATTTTGTGGTGCCTTCGGTAGGCCCCTCAAAAACACCCGTGTAGGGTCCTCAGGGCCGCCGGTTATGAAGCCTTTGGAGGCACTGGTGTGGGCCCTCACAGGTACCGGTGTGATGCTCTCAGAGGCATTGGTGCGGGGCCCCCAGAGGTGCCGCTGTGGGCCCTCAGAGGCGCCGGTGAGGGTCCTCCTCCTCACAGTTGCCGTTGTGGGCCCTCAGAGACACTGCAGTGTGGGGTTGTCACAGTCGGGTGTGGGACCCTTAGAGCTGCTGGCTCGAACCCTTTACAGGCCGACAGGGGCTCTCAGAGACCGACAAGGGGCTCTCAAGAGGTCTGCGGTGCCTTCGGGAGCCCTGTAGAGTCCTTAAAGACCAGCAAGGTACACTCAGACGCCAGTGGGGCCCTCAGAGTCGTCGGTGTGGGGCCTCAAAAGTCACCGGTGAGTGGCCGTCCGATGCGGCTCCGGCGTTGAGCCCCCCATATCCGCCGATATATGGCCTTAAGAAGTACTGGTTTCGGGACCTCATTCAGGGGTGCCGGTTGCACTCAGAGGTGGCAGTGTTGGGCCCTCAGCTAGGCACCGGCGCGGTGTGGGGCATTCACAGCCGCCGGTGAGGGCCCTCGCAGGCGCCGTTGTGGCCTGTGGGGGCCTTCAACCATTGGTTTAGCTGATCATCGCAGGCGTGTGTGGAACCCTTAGAGCTGCTGGTCCCTGATAGGCCGGTAAGGGCCCTCAGAGGCCGGCAAGTAGCCCTCAGAGGTCGCCAATAGGCCCTGAGAAGCCGGCAAGGGGCCCTCAAAGGCCGACAAGGGACACTAAAAAGCCGGTGTGGGGCTCTTATGGAGAGAAGTGTGGCTCTTCTGAACACATATGGTGTTCTTCCGAGCCCTGTGGGGCCCTTCTGAGTCGAAAGATGCCAGCGTGGACCCTCAGCCGCCAATTGGCGTCGCAAGGCCCCTCTGGCCCGAGGGGCCCCCTGATCCGATGGGAGCACGTGCCCCCTGCATCCCCTCCCCCCGGGTGCAGATAGAGAATGCAATCGGCGGTGCGGAACACAACAATTGCAATCGTTCCTCCTCCCGTCGCGAGGTCGCCCATCCGACCCATATCCCATCCCATGATTGTCAACCCTGGGGCTCGGGTCGGCAATGTACCGGCAAGGAAATCAGCTTTAGGTGAGTAAAAAAGTTATTAAGAGTCATTAGTTGTCGTTATGTTCGTCGTTCAGTAATAACAACTATACGGTGCCAAATGTACCCGACGTACAGCTTGGAGCCGGGCGCCGCCCGGTCTCCACCAGTGACGTCACGCTAATGCTTAGCGACCGGTCCATTGGAAATCGCGGGATGATTCTACCTCTCTTATACGGCCTTGGCGGTAGGGAATATCACATATATTCCGTTTTTTTTTCGAAATTCAAAAAACTTTTTGTATTTTTCAGCTATTATACCTATTCAAAAAAAAAATAATTTTGGGGGGTCAAAATCCAAAAAATTCAAAAATCTGAGACATCAGTTTTGTAGCCCTCTTAATTCTACACCTTTTATGACGCAACATTTTTCTGTATCTCTAAAGCTGTAGGCCTGACAGCTCTTCCCGCGAAACCTTTTTTTGGGTCGAAAATGGCAGAGATGACGTCACTCTGACGTCATTAGCGGCCAACCTATCATAGCCTTCGGAAATTTTTTTGGTCACAATGTGCAATATCTATTCACGGGAGGGTACTGAAAGTTTGGTGACGATCGGCGCAACGGTTTTGGAGGTATATCAAAAAACTAAAGAGGGGGGGGCAAAAAATGCCCCCCCCCACCGCCTGGAAGGTTAAGTCGGACTTCAAAAAACCTCCGGCACTCGGCTACGCCTCGTGTCTACAATTTTTCAAAGACCTTGGTTTCCATTTCTTTTTCCCAGAGCCATTCAGTAATATATATATATATATATATATATATATATATATATATATATATATATATATATATATATATATATATATATATATATATATTGACATGTTTTGGAATGTTAATTAAGCAAATTCGCGCACCTCCAGTGGACGGCAGTGAATGGAGCCGGCGGCGCCGCAGCAGTCTGTGCAGCCGGTCATACCTGCTGCCCAGACTGCAGCTGCAGTTTAGCCGAGAGCCGGTGAATGTGACCACTCTGTGCGCCCGTCCGTGACTGCAGGTCGTGGACGCACCACGACCGCTCGTTCCTGTACATGCTGTTCGAGTACGTGGTCGGCGGGGAGCTGTTCTCCTACCTGCGGCACGCCGGACGCTTCTCCAGCAGCACTGGTGAGACAGCCCGATGGCAATGGATGGGGAAGGGAAGACGCCCAATGGGCGAGGGTAAACAACGGATGGGTGATGTAGCGTGATGCTAATCTGTATTCCTCGCTCACTATCACACACAACACAAATAACACAGAACGTGACATATTCACGTGACACTTATCCGGCTGCCTACATCTAAGCAGCCGGCACATCCTCCGTTTTTTATTTCTGATGTGACCTACTCCTCAGCATATACGGTGACCGAGATCTCTGGTTCCCAGTGATCTGAGGTTCCGGTCCTCTCCGGGAAACCTGAGGTGGTGCTACTGCCTCTTGGCGTGGTGGCACTCTTATATACAAGCTTCCGTCGCTGGTTTCTCTTTTCTTTGTCGAGTTCGTTGTGTCCTGACAGGGGCTGTACTTCCGCAGATGACGTCGATTTCTTCGGTACACTCGTCCATCCTCTGTTTTGACTGCATAGGATCGGTTGCTGTCTCGACTTACAACTACGGCGGGTCTCCATTTTTGGTGGCCGGGTCTCGGTACCATCAGCACCGGCCTGCTGGTCTGCAGGGGACGGAGATCTTTTGCAGTTCTGTTATAATATTTCTGCTGCTTTTCTTTTCTTTCCTGAAGGCGCCTTTCTGCACCAAGCGGTACTTCGGGATTGAGCAGTTTTCCATGGATGGGTAGCATAGTTCGAGTACGCCGTCCCATGAGTCGTTGCGCCGGGGAACTGCCGACATTTTCTGACGATAGGTTTCGCATTTCTAGTAATGCTAGATATGGATCTGATTTTGTCTCGCATGTTCTTGTCATCATTCTCTTCATTTGCTTCACCGCGTTTTCAGCCTTTCCGTTAGACTGTGGATATCCGGGAGAACTCGTCGTGTGTTTGAATTCGTACATCTCAGCGAACTCCCTGAAATCCCTTGAGTTGAAGGGAGGGCCATTGTCGCTGACGAGCTCCATTGGAATACCATACCGTGCCATATGTCCTTTTAGCAGTCTGATGATTTCTTTCGTGGTCTTGTTGTGCACTCTGTCGCATTCTATGAAGTCGGAATAGTAATCTACAGTGACTAGATATGACCAGCCTGCCAACTCCATGAGGTCACAGCCGATCCTCTCCCATGGTCTTGCTGGTACTTTGTAGGATATGAGTGTCTCTTTCTGTTGGGCTGGCTGATAAGCCGCACAGGCTGTACGTACATTTGGAGACATAGTCTTTTATGTCTTCGTTCATGTTTGGCCAGTACAGGGCTTCTCTTGCTCTACGCATGCACGTTTGCACTCCAGCATGCGACAAGTGCACGCGTTCCAGCATGTAGCGCCTTGCGCTGACAGGTACGAAAATTCGATCACCTTTAAATATTACTCCCTTGTTGACAGATAACATGCTCCTGAGATCGAAATACCTGCGTGCTTCCATCGGTACATCACTTTTATGTTTTGGCCATCCTTTGCTGATGAGTTCTGCGAGTGTGCATGCTTCCATGTCGTTTTCTGACTCTGTTCTCAGGAAAGTAGCCGTTTTGTCAGATATCGGCAGATAGTCTTCTATCTCCAGTTGTTCTATGTTAGCTTCTTCTTGGCATCTTCCAAGTGAAGCATAGTATATTTCATCCAGATGTTCCGTGTTCGTTTCCGGGAGCTGAGCTCTGCTAAGTGTATCGGCTAGATGCATGTCAACTCCCCTTTTGTACTCTATATGGAAGTCGAATTTCTGCACCGCTAGCATCATTCGTTGCAAGCGTTTCGGTGTTTCAGCGAGGCTTTTGAGCTGGATCTGTTCCAATGGCTTGTGGTCCGACTGTATTGTCACCTCTCTTCCCAAGGTGTACCGTTCGAACTTGTTCAGTCCGTAGACAATCGCGAGCATTTCTTTTTCGATTTGGGCATAGTGTCTCTCAGCGTTGGTGAGCGTTCGAGAGGCATAGGCGACTGGCTGACCGCATTGCATTAGACACGCACCAAGCCCCTCTTGAGACGCGTCCACCTGGAGACTAGTCTCGTCTTTGGTACTGAAGTATTTCAGAACAGGTGCCTCGACGATCAGCTTCTTTATGGCTCGTAGAGCCTCGCCGTGGATGCAGTCGTCAAAAAGAAAAGGTGCATCATCCTTCAGAAGCTGACGGAGTGGTGCTGCTACTGTCGACAGGTTTGGAGAAAACTTTTGAAGATAGTTGACCATTCCCAGTAGCCTCTGCACACCTTTCTTATCTTTTGGGGCTGGCATGGATTGGATAGCACGCGTCTTCTCTGGGTCAACTTGTAGACCTCGATCCGTGAATAGGTGACCCATGTAGGCTACTTGTTTTTGTTTCAGCTTCATCTTGTTCATGTTCAATCTTATACCTCTTTCTCTACATCTTTCTAGCAGAGCTTTCAGTTTCCTGTCATGATCTGCGACAGCCTCTTCGTATGTGTCGCCTTCCCCATAGATCAGAATGTCGTCGGCAATAGCCTTTATGCCATCTAGACCTTCTAGCTCTTGGTTTAGCCTTCTTTGAAATTCTTCTGATGCTACGGCTATACCAAATGGTAGACGGTTCCATCTATATCGTCCCCAGGGTGTTCCAAATGTAGTCAAGAAGCTACTTTCTTCTTCGAGTTCGACGTGCCAATATCCGTTTTTTGCGTCGCAAACAGTGAACACCTTTGCCTTCTCCAGCCGGCACGTCAGGTCATCAACTGTCGGAATCGGATACTTGTTTCTTTTCAGCTCTTTGTTCAGTGGTTTGGGATCCAGGCAGAGTCGAAGGCTGCCATTCGGCTTCTTCACTACGACTAAGGCAGACACCCAGTCAGTGGGCACTTCCACAGGTGTGATGATGCCTTCACTGGTAAGACGATCCAGCTCCTGTTTGAGGCTGTCTTCCAGTGCCACTGGAACTGACCTCGTCGCCGCCTGATGCTGTTTAGCCTCTGGAACTACTTCAAGCTTCAGTTTTTCTCGGAATCGGCCTGTCCCGGTGAAAACATCCTTGTATTCGGCGACGAGTGCCTCTTTTTCTCCGGCGGCTCCTCCCGTGGTCACGTTATTGGCTTGATGCACGGTCATGATGTTGGCGTGGTTGACATTGATGAGTTCCAAGTCCTGTACAGCACTGACCCCTAATAGTGGAGTATAGTCTTGTGGTACTACAAAGAATTCCACCTGATACTCCTTCATCGTCATGGGGTTCGTCACCGTCAGCTTGCATCGCCCTTTCACCGCACTGGTCGATCCATTGTACATGACAAGCGACATCTGACATGGCTGAAGCTTCTTTAGGAGGGGGTCATCGCATGCCTTCTTGTAGACGTGCTGGGGTATCACATTGACACCGGCTCCAGTGTCGAGCTGAAACCGCTCAATATGATTGTTGCCTATCATCAAATGAGCATGTATCTTGCCGCTCCGTGGCTGTGACATTGCACCGGTGCTCACATGCCGAATGTGACTCGTCTCTTCCAACAGATTAGTTTGCTCTCCCTGTTGAGTTGCTGTTTGAATCTCGACACCAAATGAGTTGAGGTGTGTTTCTTGTGCAGAGCTTGGTTCATCGCACTCCATACCATTCGGTACGTATGAGTCAGCCATGTCCAACATCTCTACACGGGCTCGTCTACACTTTGCGGCGACATGGTTCAGGCGACCACAAATCTGACAGGTCTTTCCCCAGGCTGGGCACTGTTCTTTTTTGAACGTGTGTTTTGTGCCACAGTATTTGCACCATCCAATGGTTGGAGTTATTCTCCGTTGTTGACCTCTTCCTCTACCATGTACTGCATGAAGGTCGGCACTTGGTGTGAAGCAAGGTTGTGTCTCTTGCTGAGTCTTCTGAGTCATCGCCTTCATCTGATCAGATGCTGTCTCATGAGCTCTTATGGTCTGCATCGCTTGGTTCAATGTCAACTCATTTTCTTGTAGAAGCCTTCGTCTGACGTTGTCGTCTTGTATACCGATAATCACCCGGTCTCGGATTAGACTTTCCTCCAGGGATCCAAAGTTGCATGTTTTTGCTAGTTGTCTCAGGCTTGTAACGTATTCGTCCACCTTCTCCTGGTTTTCTTGCTTACGTATGTTAAACTTGTATCTTTCGTACGTTTCGTTTGGTTTGACCACGCAGTAGGCTTGGAACTTTGCTACGACGGAAGACACGGTTGCCTGTTCTTCTTCACTTGTGCACAGACCATCCAATATCAGCAGAGCCTCCGGACCGATGCACGTCAGGAATGTGGCAACCTGTACCTCATCTGGCTTCTCTTGTAACCCTGTGGCAATGGAGTAGTTTTTCCATTGTCGATGCCACAGCTTCCATGTTGTGTCTAAATTATCGTGGTTTTGTCTCAGTTTTAACGGACCTGGCAGAGGCAAGTTGGCCATGGCAGTGATTGCATGAAAGTATATCAGATATTTTGTTCCAATCGAAAGTTAATCATTTCAGGTCTATGTGAAAAAAATACAAAATTACAAATAAGATACTTTCACTTCTGACACCATGTAGCGTGATGCTAATCTGTATTCCTCGCTCACTATCACACACAACACAAATAACACAGAACGTGACATATTCACGTGACACTTATCCGGCTGCCTACATCTAAGCAGCCGGCACAGGTGAGGGAGACAGGGCATGGGGGGGGGGAGAGACAAGGCATAGGGGAGGAAAAACAGGATAGGGGAGGAGTGTCACGGGATATGGGAGAGTTGACAGGGTAGACATTGACAGGAGTGTGACTGTTTCTGTTTTGTGGTCCCTCCGTGTGTGACAGCCTCTGTACGTGTGTGAGTATCTCTACTTGTGTGGGAGTATCTGCACCTGTGTGGGAGTATCTGCACCTGTGTGAGTATCTGCACCCGTTTGAGTATCTGCACCTGTGTGAGTATCTGTACGTGTGTGGGAGTCTCTGCACCTGTGTGAGTATCTGCACATGCGTGAGTATCTGTGCGTGTGTGGGAGTCTCTGCACCTGTGTGAGTATCTGCACATGTGTGAGTATCTGCACCAGTGTGGCAGTCTCTGTACTCGTGTACGTGTGTGACCGTCGCTCTGGCGCCGCAGGGCTGTTCTACACGGCGGAGATCGTGTCAGCGCTGGAGTACCTGCACTCTCAATCCATAGTGTACCGCGACCTGAAGCCCGAGAACCTGCTCCTCGACAGGGACGGACACCTGAAAATCACAGACTTTGGCTTTTCCAAGAAGCTGAGTGACAGGTAAAGACCTGGGTGACGCCGAATTTCGCCCCTGAGCCGCCGGCTGCGCCCCTGAGCAGGCACTATCCCGTCTCTGGCATGAGTTCCCAAGCTGTACATCATGAAACTAAAATTTCACTTCACGTCAACAACTCCACGTCAAAACTCCACGTCAAAACTCTACTCCACGAAAACTCCACTCCATTCCACGTCAAATCGCACAAAAATCGGCTGTTTTGCACCTTACCATCAGAGATTTCATTATAAATTTGCCAGCGCTTTCCTGTTTTGCACCGGGTATTACATTGATGTTTTTTTTTTGCACATTTGGACCACAGGTCTTCTAGATATAGAGCATTATGTTTTTGAAAAATATCGCGTCCTTACATTTTTGAAGGCCTATAACTTTGGATGTGCTCGTCTGAGCTCAACGAAATAAACTGCATCGTTAAGGGCATTTCTTCAACATTTATCTGAAACTGAGATAACTCGTCTTTATCGAGCAGTTTTGTGGTCTTTATTGCCACTGCTTCAGCGAATTACATTGTCACATTAGTCACATTTTCACAATATTTCATAATTGGCGATGGGAAGTACAGCCCTCTGCACACTGCGTGGTAGGTATTCCTTTTTCGACAAAAACAATAATAACTCGAAAACTATGTTTTCTGTCACTCGAGAACCGTAACAGCAAGAAGCGCGAGACTCCGCACCTTAGATTGGGCTTATCATGGTATACATTTTCCATCCAGCTTGGCAACAAAACACATAAGTTTAGATTTGCCTCCAAAACAAACTTTTGCATTTTGCGGCCACACTAGGCGTAAACTTTGCTCAGTGATAACCCAATCGAAGGAGTGGAGCATGGCGCATCTATGTGCATAGACCACTATATACCTGGACTGTGCACTGATATTGCCGACTGCCATTAGGGCCCTGCTGGGAAATTCGACGTAGCACGTGGAATTGTGTGTTGATGCTCTAGTAAGCCATTTAAATGCAAGTAACTACTTAATTGTGATGTATATTTTGATAAATGCAGGGCCCTGTTCATGAAGTCTGCGGTCGCTGCGGCCTGCCGCAGGTTCTAAGCCCCGTCCATTTTTGAAACGTCATCACTCACTCGGCCGCAGCAGCGTTCCATGAACAGCGTCTGCTGCCGAAATAGTTCCCAACAATTGTTTACAACTGAGGCACACCGCTAGATAATTTGTTTACAAAATCGCCTCCATGACAACACGGCTTGTGCCTATTTGACTTAAGTGCACTTAAGTTCAGTGCAATTAGTTTTCTTGCGGCTCGGCGGTCGCTGGATTGTGGCCGCAGAGATCGCAGCGGCCGCAGCAAGGTGACGTCATACATTCGTCATACTACATGAGCCCCGCCCCTTTTCGTGACGTAACAACCCGGCTGACCGCAGCGGCCGCAGCGACCGCCGGGGTTCATGAACAGGGCCCTGAATTTATAGCATGATTTTCGACACGATAAATAAATAAAAGCACTTAGAGGCAGGTATAACACTGTATTGAGTATTCAGCGCTAAACATCGATAAACAGGAACCATCCGTGATCGGTTGTTTTGACAAGAAACAGTCTGATCGCATATTGGACGCACTGCAGATTTATTTGCTAGTGTAAATCAGACAGGCACCCTGGCACAATGTTTTGGCACTTTGGCCTGGCGCAGCAGCCCACACGGTCTGCACCACGGCATTGTGAAGATCCCTTTAGATAAATTACAAAGCTGTCGGGGCTGCGTGTCTAGCGAGATCGTCCGAGGTGACCTGCTTCCACCGAGGCCGATTTCATGTTCAGCTTAGCGACAGATGGGTTCTATCCTCTGTCCTTCTCGAGAGAAGGGGACTTGAACCCCGTTGTCAGATGGCCGCATTTTGGCGGGTGATGGCGATCGAGATTGGAGAATTAGGCGGAGTCACGAGATATCGGTTCACTGGACACTGCAGCAGAGCTTCGCACTCGGAAATATACTTCCTTATAGTTATTGTGCTACATTTGCCTTTAGTTACTAAACAAGCTGTATATCCAGATGTGGAATTCTCAGCCATGAAGGTATCTTACACATCGACGAATATGACTGCAGTTGTTGATTGCATAAACGAAATGATCCGAGGAATGTTACATTGCGTCTACTTCCTGCGGCTCAATCTTTCTCATTTTCATGAATCTTTCTCATTTTCATGAAGCTCTGCTCGCGCATCGCTGTCGTTGAGTGACGGTATTGCCCATGAATTTTATGTTTGTTTTTCGCTCAACTACACACACCAATGTGTTGAAGGAAGGCGGGTCGTAGCGTTGTAACTTGAGGTGTTTCTCGACAGTGTGACTCCCTCCGCCCTCGGCGAACAATATGTGAAGAAACCTATCGTTTTCCTTTACAATGGTAGTCGAGATGTCTTGAAACACACGTTTGGGGCTACGTGTGCCGAAGAGAGAGCGACTCGGTAGCTGTGACCAGAGCAGTACTCATGGCATTCATGCAGGAAAGAACACAAATTGCTGATGTGGGCACGCCAGCCCTCCGCAAGCAATACGATCTGAAGTGCTGGACCATCACTTGACGAAATTGCAAGACTTGATAACTCGTTTGGCTTCATTGTGTGACTGATTATAGGAGCCGCCAGTATCTGGAAGCATGTGCAATGTGCATCATGTTTGCATGCATGCATCTTTTTAATCAATTGGTGGAAATGACCGCCGATGTCGACCAGAAGAAAACTTGCACTTCTTACAGCTCTTCGGCTTGATTTTTCGGTCTCGGCGAGCGTCACAACATGTAATAAAGCTCACAGGGAGCCCATGATTGGTCAGGATTCCAAGACGTTTTAAGTTTCAGAGCAGAGAGTAATTGACTTCTTATTGATGCCTCAGCCAGGAATCGAAACACTGACATTGTCGCACGCACTGTCTTGGCTCTTTGAATATGCTCACGCCCTATTCTGTTTAGGGGATATTCTGAATTTATTATCATTAGCGGCACATTTTACTGTAATTATGTGGCATATATGCATTCAAAAGTAACACAAAACTATTAATTTCATTTAAGGCAAAGAACTATCCCGCATGTCAATGATAAACAACAATAATCTTTCCAAAAAAAAGCTACATTTCTGCGAAAATTTGCTAATTATCGTGAAAATGAGCTGGGAACCATCATCCACACCATGTTAAATCATCAAAGAAATAGGCAAAACGCGCCCTTTGTTTTTCAATGTTTGCGCTACTATTACTAAGTTTTTGCCCACAATAAGATATTTTTTTCTGTTATCATTAGGAAAGACTACAAATTGACTAGAGGTGTTGCTTCCCAAAGCGCATTATCATATGGCGAATGATTTGGCTGTGATACGCGTTTGAAAGTTAGGGCCCTAATGGCAGGTCCCTAATTTCTGTGCACAGTCCAGGTATATAGTGGTCTATGCTATGTGCAATGAGTTCCGACCGACTGATAACATAGTCTTTGAGTTATTATCGGTTTTGTCGAAAAAAGAATACCTACCACGCAGTGTGCAGAGGGCTGTACACATGCGCCATAAAAATCGCTACCTCTTTCTGATGATTCAAAGACACAATAACAAATACACAATAACTGAGACACAATCAGGGTCATGCATACAAAGTGTGTCTTGTTATACGCAGCAGACATATAGCAGACGTACAACTACCTGCACACATGTACAAATGTCGTAAATTGTCGATTCGGTCGTAGTATATAGTGGGCAAATTTGATAACAATCGATCAACATAAATCATCATGTTACATACAAACGCATACGGATATCGATCGAAGCCTAAACATAATTGTCAGTCCATGCATTGCTAGCTAGTAGTGGTGATCAGCGAGTGGAAATTATCACCTTTTTTGTGTACAATTCTCCCTCCCTTTTGTGTGTGCCGAGGAGACCAACCCATCTTTGTTCCTTTATCCTACGGTATGTGACCCACCCTTTCCATACCTTTTGTAACCCTACAAATTAAGCGTTGGAAAGATCGTGCCCTTCCCCGTTGAAGTGAGCTGCTTCGTCCATATCGTTCCTCTGAAATGATAGTGGACAAATGATTTTGAAGTCTCTGGTATAATACACCCCCCGTTTCTCCTACATATACCACACAATCACACACCTCGCAGAAAACTCCATATGCTACGTTCCTAGATCTGCATCCTATCGACTTGTCATATGCGCATGTGTGTGCCCCCTGGTCCTTTGATACGTTCCTCTTGTTTGTACATTACTTTACATATTACACAGTTTTTGCCACAGTCTCCCCCGCCTACATCAATCTTGTACCAAACTTTTTGTCTTTTTATGTACTAATATATACTTGAGATTCGTCCCTCTTTTGAAGGATACAAACATGTCAGCACCGAACACATTTTTTAGCCCCAGACCTAAACAAGAGACGTTTTTTATCCCGAAGTATGTTCCCTATGTTCGGTAAGTGACTAGCATACGTAACTATTAGGGGCACCCCTTGCACCTTTTTTCTGGTATTTGTCCCTAGCAACAATCCTCTATCCATGTTTTCTACTCTATTTACTCCATTTTCAGTTTCGTTCCATAACTGCTGTTTCGTTTTATTTGAAACTGCATATACCCAAATATTTGACCTTGAACTTTGCTTCAGGGCAGGCGCGGCGCCACGGATTTTGTCCAGGGGGGGGGGGGGGGCAGGGCTTCCCGGGGCCTCATACAAAGGGGCCTCCCAGCAGCGGGGCCTTCATGTATTTAGTACCTAGTTATCACGAGGAAAAGCAAGCATCCTTTTATCCCGGTTGCTTTTTCAGAAAAAGTGCCACTTCCTTGAACTATGCGTGCAGATCGATAGCACATCTTCTTGATATGTACAGGTCACCGCTGAAGTAATGAGCGCATCTACTGTAGTCGGACGAAACCTAGGGCCAATCATTAATGGTGAGATCTATCATCAAAAGCGAGTATCGAACAGATTAGTGTTCCAGTTGGACAACTTTCTTTAACGCGTCACAGTTCCACCTGCCACAG